GAGCCGAAACTAGGGGCAAAAGGGGCATCGACGATCGAGGAAGATTCTAGCTTGCCCCCTTGCCCCTTCTGGATCTTCGAGGAGAAATCAACATGTACTCCCAGGCCCCCTTGAAAATTCAGACGGTGTTTGGGGTAAGTTCCAAAAGGCTTGCCCCCCCTTGCCCCCTTACCTACTTAGGGATTTGGGTCGGACACGAGGGACCTCTTCACTGACAACCTCCCACTAAACGGACGTTCTGCAGGAAGCGCCGCCTCCATCGACGGTGAGAGCGCATAAAAACCACGCTGAGGAAGCAGGCAGGAGGGAGGAACCGGTGAGTCTCCTCTTTGAACACCTTGCCCCACCTTGCCCCTTACCTACTTATGGACGTGAGCCCGAACTTGCAGCCAAGAAAAACACTGCCTCCATTAGAACGATTCTAGCTTGCCCTTCTCTCTCTGCTTTGTGAGCTGGCCTTCAATTTGATCGAAGACATGTCGTACCTGTAGGTTCGAGGAGCCCCCCGACCCGAGTTGGACGTCGACGCCGGCGACATCCAGACGAAGGTTGCAGATGATATCCTGCAGACGCTCAAGTTTTGGGGCATCAACTCGTGCACGTTCCGCAAGGCGAAGCCTCTGACAGGCGGTGCGGTGGGGATGATGTACATCTTCGATCGGAGCTTTGATGCTCCGGGGGGCGGCGCGTGCCCCTTTCTGGATGTTGGTCAGCTCCACTCCAGCAACTACTTCTTCGTCGAAAGACGGGGCACGCGGCTCATCTATTGCTGCAATAGCTCGACCTGTCGGTCTCAGTTCGGCCCGTGCAGAAGGAAGAACATCGGCTATCTAACGAGCGCCACCAGCTCCATCTTCTGCGATGCGCTTCCCTTCACGGACATCCTCACCAACGTGATTGACATCTTCGGCCCGGATTTCCTCGCCTTCAACCTGAGCAAAGGCTCCGGTGAGTGACCTCAGACTTCGTGTCAAAAAATCCTTCTGACCACCGATGACTGCTGTTGGTTTTCTTCACTGCACCCCTTGGCCATGTTCGATGCTTGAGCTGCGCACATTCGCTCCCCCTTTGCTCTCCATCCATCCACCTGCGGTGCTGTTTTGGACCCTTCACCGTTGCTTTCAATGCTGGATCGGCGCACTCCGAGCCGGCCTTATGACCCACAGATACACGCATTGCGAGCAAACCCCAAAGGTTTCTCCTAGGGCAAGTACTTTGCAATCCAATTCTGAAAAAAGGTTAGGATCCTCTGTGTTATCTGTGGGTGCCTTCGTACTGCCTTCTCCGTTTTCGCTTCAAAGCCTCCCGCTCCTATTGAAGTCTTTGCTCTCTTGCTCACAGGCGATCGAGGTGGTGCGGACATCCTCCACGCTCTCCATAATGCGAGGGGTATGAAGGTCGCCTTTGCACCTGGCTCGGTGATGAAGTTCTGTTATTGGAGCGGGCGCAATTGGAGGTGGGACGAATTGGATCAAGTCATCACCCACGTGTTCCAGGACCAGCTCTTGCGTGTTAAACGGGAGTTCGTCGATCACTGCACGGCAAACGACCTCGATGAGCCAAAAAAATACACGGACTTCCGCTCGAACGCACAGATGAACAACATAGTCACCACAGCGAAACGCCTCTTCCGCAATCAGGCCTTTGTGGGCGGCCTCGATCAGGACCTCGATATTTTTCCTCTTGGAAACGGCGTCCTCGATATCCCGTCGGCCACCCTTCGGCCCCATCATCCTCGTTTCATGATCAGTCTGATCCACGACAAGCTCGATTGGCCCGATACCGGCCTCCACACCCCGCTCACCGACTTCGAGCCGTTCATATGCGAGGTGATCGGCAAAAATGTGAAGTACTTCCAGGTGCTCATGGGGTACATGCTTACGGGGCAGACGAACATGCAGTTTGTCTGCTTCTGGGTCGGCGCTGGTGAGTAGTTTTTTCCACCTCTCTCTCGCTCTATTGCCTCTCTCCCTGCTAAGTCCACTGTAGTTTTGAGCACCACTCAATCCTCCTTGTTTGAAGTTCCCTCCACTTCCCCTTCTTGGCTCATTCCTCCCTCCGGACGTTGCTCGCAAACGCTTGTACTACGAAGCTTGTGTTAAGCGGCTCAATGGCCTGTCTGATGTAGGAGCCAACGGCAAGAGCACTTTGAACAACATCTGCCAAGAGGTGCTGGGTCCGTGGTATAGAGACGTCGGCAAGAGCCTGCTAATGACCAGTAGCAAGGACCAGAAATCCAGCGCGGGAGCCGCATCGCCGCATCTAGCAGGTATGAATGATTCACCTTATGACATCGACGGATATGTGAGTAGTTGCCTTGCAACCTGCGGCATGATGGAGCTTCGACAGAGTGCACCTTTGTCCCTCAAAAAGGATCGTCTGACGCCTGAATCAACTTGCTTGTCTTCGTCCATGCAGTCCTGAAGGATGCGCGGCTGGTCATTACCGAAGAAAGCGATGATATGGATCACATCGACAAGACGTCTTTCAAGAAGCTGAGTGCCGCCCGGAAGCTCACCTTCCGCAAGCTATATGAAGACGTCTCGACCTGCAACATGACACACAAGGTGATTGGACCACTCTAGCTCCCCTCCCCTCCCGACGGGTGCTGAGTTTATGAAGGGGAGTTTCTGAGTGTCAACATTCATTCGTCCTGGACGCGTGCTCTACTTTGATTCCTCTGACCAATCTTGTGCACCTTCCTTTGCAGCACGTCGTGCTGACGCAGCAGCTCCCGCACGTGGATCCGGACATTGGGATCATCCGACGGATCATGATCGTCACATTCCTTATGCGCTACTTCCATGATCGCGAGGCGGGGTTCGACAGGAATAACCCCCTACACAAACGGGTAGATCCGACCATGGAGACCCGGATGTTGGAGCCTCGCGTGATTCAGCAAGCGCTAGTTTGGATGGTCATCGGGGCAAAGAAATACTACGAAGCAGGGAAGTCGGTCGGAGCGGTTCCGGCTGAGTTCTTGCAGGCGTTGGAAGAATACGTGCGGGAGGAAGACAAAGTTGGGACGTTTGTCGAAGAGTATTGCGAGCTCGGTCCGCAAGCGACCCACCGAGTTCGACAGTCCGTGTTCGTGGATGTATACAATCGCGAGATGGGATCCGCTGTTCAGCCAAGGCACCCAAGCTTTTGGAAGAACTTTCTCAAGGCCTTCCCGTCGGTGCAGAGACTTGAGAATAAAAAGAGCGGCGGGAACATCCTTGCTGGGATCAGGCTGAAGGGCGATGGGGCCGTGTAGCTCATCGACAGAAATAGACGCGAGCTTTGGTAGACGCATGTACATATTGTAAATTGAACAGTGAAACGAGTGTTTCTTCTGGTGATCCTTACCAAAACTGAACTTCCCGTATGCATGCAGCATCTGAACGATGATGACACCATCTATGCCTATCCACACGGTCTGCTCATCTGCATCGAGATTGCTATCTCTTGCCCTACTTAGGGCTTTGGTCCCCAGATATGAGTCATATCTATTCGCTCTGCTGGAATTTACTACTTACGAAGTAATAGGGGCTCACAATTACCATAGAATCATGCTGCTGTACATCGGCGCCGGCTCCGACGTTCGCCCGATCACTGACCTCCCTTACGAGCATTTTCTCTACGTTGATGCGCTCCCCAATAAACCGCACATAGGCCCGAGCACGGCGGCTATCCTTTTTATAAGGACGAAGAAGCCCTTGTTCATACTCTGGAGACGGAACTCGCTGATTCTGGGTGCGTCATCGATTCCAAAGTCAAGCTATCGCCGACCGTGTACCGGTACTCGATCGACGGTGACAAGGTTCAGACGTACGCCATCAATACGCTGGACGAGCGCGCGCACGAGGTCCCGGAAGTGGCTTCACTGCTTCCAACTATCTCCGCTGTTTTCTTGGCGGGATACGCGCCTATTTTCAACGGTCTGCTTCCCAGCCTGAAGACCATTTACGCCTCCCCGATCGTGGAAGACATGCTCTACGACGAGTGGACGAAGCAATTTTGCAAGGGGCGGGAGGTCGAATGGCTTCGCGTGTACGATTCCGATTGCTCGGATAGAGACGTCTTCGACAAGCTTCCAACGTGGTCGGATGACTCGGAGTACTCGGAGAGCCAGTATTCGGACAGTCAGCATTCCGACATTGAGTGAACCGCTTATCAGACATAGAGAGATTTTTTAGGTAGATTGTTAGGAGAACGACGAATAAAGACATTGATTTGAGCCTAAATGTATGCTTCAATGTTCCACAAGCATTGACTCACATGCAAGAACCCTCTGGTGCTTTTTCAACCAGGGCTTGCGAATGGATGCATGGCTGCACAAACGAGACCCCCTCGACCCAAAGCTCATTATTGGTTCTCTGCCACTGCGACGAAATGGCGGGTTCGACAATCGAGCTGCGAGGATTCGAGCTCCTTTGGGTTACCACACATGCACTCGCGCCGCTCAGAAGGAGACAAAAGCGAGAGTGTCACGCGAGATGGGCAGATTGGGGACGGACCCACAGATACACGCGGCGCGACCAAACCCCAAAGGTTTTTTCTAGGGGCAGTACTTTGCAAACCAATTCTGAAAAAAGGTTTGGATCTTCTGTGTAACGCGTGGGTGTCTAAGTACAGCCTTTTGCATCTTCCCTCCCGACCCCCCCTCGAGCCGATTCGAAAATGGCGGCACGGCCTTCGGAGCGGATCGATATGCGGTCGAAGGGCTCGAGAATGGCGAGGGTGGCCCTCAGTCGAGGGACTCCGTTGGCAGAGGGCGCCCTCTGACGCCCTCGTTTGTGCCCAACCGAATGCTGCAGCCGCCCGAGCAATCGTCTGTGGATGCTGAAGCAGGTACCTTCAAGTTTTCCGGTCCCAACGAGCGTAAAGAAAAGACGAAAAGTACTGCCGTCAAGTTGCGAGAATTTTCGAGGGGATCTAGGAGGCAAAAGGGGCATGTCCTATCCTATCAGCAGCTTAGGGGAATGATGCATGTACAGAATGAGTCAAAGCATGACGGAGACTCAGAAGGAGCGCGCGGATGGAGCGCCCGGATGGGAGTTGCGAGCTGACGGGAGAATTTTTGCGTGCTTGCTAGTGCACCCCCCGGGTGCGACGAGCTGCGAGAACGAATATGCTTCGAAGCAAGGGCTTGAGATGCATCGCAGGCGGATGGCCGTGCAAGAGCCCAGCCTGCCAAGCCGACGGACCGTCTCGAGATTTTTTGGGCTCGACGAGCAGGAAGCGAAGCTGCTGAAGGCGAGCCGCAACGACTCGTACGTCGCGAACTACCGCCGCACTGCAAAGGGGAGGCTCGCAACATTTCGTGCGAGTCATTCGAAAGAGCTGCAGCTGCGTGCAATGGAAGCTCTGCCGTATCCAGAGCCACTCCCGCCGCCCGCCTATCTGCCTCCCCCCATCTCCTGGCTCCTGAGCAAGAGGCCGATTCCTGCGGAGGGCTTGACGGACCTCTTCGCGAGCACCGCAGGCGGACTCAAGATCGACCATCGGACTTGGAGTCTTCAATATCACCCCGATCACGTGCAGGTGAGCCGACAACACGGATTGATATACTGAACACAGCTGTACACTTTCGACCGAACACCCATTCAACCCTTTTTGAAAATATGTTAGTCTGTACAGCTTTGTGTGCCTTTTCACTCTCAAAAACCTGATTATACTTGTGAATGTACACTTATTACTTGAAACATCTGTGTTTTCCGTGAACATTCCTTTTGGACCCATCGAAAGTCGATGAGAACAATTCGAAGTCTTTTCTCCGCCCCGTCTCCCTCCAAGACGTCTGAAGGCCAAACGGGCTCGACCCCAAAAGCAACAGAGGAGTCGAGCGAGACATGTCGGCCACCATTCAAGCATTTCTAATGCACTTCGTCGCTCAAACGAGCTCGTTCTAAGTCCATCCGGCTGGCTTCGGTCGCACCCTGACGAGGAAACGCAAGAACTTTGAAAGGATGTTGCTTTTCTTTGAGAAGAGCAATCTCGAGGCACCCACGCATTACACAGAGGATCCAAACCTTTTTTAAGAATTGGATTGCAATCTACTAGGCCTAGGAGAAGCCTTTGGGGTTTGCTCGCAATGCGTGTATCTGTGGGTCGTCCAGATCCCATGCATGATTGGTTCGACCTTCGATATCAGCCAACAGCGTGCGCCTTTTTTGCAGGTCAAGAACCCAACCGCCATCGAGGCCTTTGAGAAGCATCACGGCTACTTCATGGATGACGAGCTTCAGGGGCTCGACTCATCGGCGCGTGCTCAGAAGGTCCTCTCGATCTACTCGACCATGCTCTTTGCGCCCCTCAACGAGCACCGCTTCGGCCCCGGCACCGTGGCGCAAAAGCTCGGCGTTTTCGAGTGGAGGTGGTGGCTGAGAGGGGAGTCCGATTTGATCCGGGATTATCACACGTATTTGCATCAAATCGGTGCGCACGATGCTGCTGCAAAAGCGGCCAGAGCAGCTGTGAATGCGGCGCGCGAGCGGTGGTTTGAGAGGGAGATCGATATCAAGTTCAAATGTTC